CCTGTATATATATATATATATATATATATATATATATAAACTTTTCTTAAGGTAGAAATTCTTTAATTTCTAATATTCTTTAATCTATGCGCTAGAAGCTCGTTGCCGGCCAATACATTTTCCACCGTCTCACACAGGAATCTCTTTTAGTAGATCTGTTAATTTAAAAACTTATTCCTATTCCTCAATATCAGATTGGCCTTAAAAAATTGTATCTTAAAAATTAATTACCTCATAAATAATTAGCAGAAACAGAAATTGTTGACTAAATTAGAAAAAGCCTGTGAAGAACGTGCAATTAGTTTTTAAACATAATCGTCCTCAGTCAATTTATAGCAATGTTAAACAAATGCGAAAAATTGATATTTCAACATCTCTCCCGACAAATTCATAGAAATTTTTCAACGACCTTTAGTATTGGGGGCTAAAGTCACAGTTCAAATTTCAGGACCCGAGGTCAAATGGTTCTTAAATTATAAAAATTCAACATAGCATTCTTTTACAGAGCACAAACAAAAAAAAAGTAACCATCGAAGAAAGTTGAAGAAAAAAAAGTTAAAGCTTACCTGTAATGTACGAAGTCTGCCCCTTTTCTGACAAGTGGGAAAATTAAAAAGGTATGTTTGAATCGATTTCTTCAAAAATTTACAATCATGTCCATTCTAAGTGTGCACCTGCATATCGCTTTTGACTTAGCAGAAGATATTATTTAAATTTTTCCGGTATAGATTATCGATCCTGATAAGAACATAGAATATAGAAAGAGATTTAAAGATTTATTTTTACTCTTAAATTTTCATTAACACGTTTTGTTTGAAGATACATCTTATACGGGAGGGGGGGAAATTAAGTTTATTGTAGAAAAAAATTAAAAAACTGGACTCAAATTTAAAAAAATAAATTACCATTTATTGCAATTTATCTACGTATTGTCTTTATCCCTTCAAATGAGTGTTCTTTCATCAGAGTAGGAAACTGATGCAACCACTATACATGGCAAAACTTACTGTTTGTATTATTCGGAAGTGGGTTGACTGTTCAACGCCAGTTGTTTAGAAAACAAAACATTTAGAGTGGTTGCCAGCAATTACAAATTTTACTGACATGTAATGCGCATTTTATTGATGTCACTGGGTAAAACAAATGTTTTGTTGCATTTATTAATAGAGTAGTTGATAGTCTGTGTGGTACGGGTCTATGGTTGTTGTCTATGTCCGAGTTGGTAGCTTTGGCCATTGGAATATAATTTTAAGTTTAATCGCTTTGCTCGGTTATCATTGTAACTAATTTCACAAATTTGTTTTCAAATTTTTATTTAATTTTCGGTAATTATAAAAATTTATTGTTTTCTTACCAAACAGATAATTTAAGAGCTGTGCGAAAAGTTAATTAAGTTTATTAAAAGTTCATTAACCTAATTAATATTTATTTAATTAATTCAGTTAATTAGCATCTTTAAATATTTTTTTAGTAATTATTTAAATACAGGTGTCAGCTGTATACAGTTTCACAAAAAATATGTCATGAAAATAAACAGATAACTCTTCAAAAACAATCTACCTTTCTATAATTATATAATGCTAATTCAATAATACATTTATTTCAAACTATCATACAGCAAGTTTTTAATATAATAATGCACAACTACTATTTGATTTAAGACTTTAGTTTTGAATATGATTGTTACTTTGAATAGGATAGTTGCATTTTCATTTTAATGAAAATATTAACAAATATAATTAAATTACAAAAAAAGCTAAATATAAATTCTCACATACAATATGAGAAAATATTTATTTGGAACAAAACTTCAAATATTTAACTTCACAAGACGACTTTTAAAGGTAAAAAATTATCAGAACTGCATATTATATTACATTTATTATATTCCATAATAAATTTTTTGTTTGCTTGCGTGACGAGCTCTCCGCGTAAGCTTATAGCTCTGTATTTCCATTAACTGGGTTTTTAAAAATGACGTTATTCAATGGTGCCCTCTAGGGCCAAAAATTCAGCATTTTACCGCATACACACGTCACATCCCGTTTTACAAGGAGGACACATTTATATACTCTGTTCATCTGCAGATTGCAATAGTAACCTGAATCATAGCACAATCAATTTCCGATCAAGTACCCCCAGAGGCATTAATTTGTTATAAGAACTTGGAGGACTTTATGACCCTGACAGATTTAACGTGCACCAGTCGTCACTGGGAGTTTCCGACCAGCGTAGTTCGAACTGAGGACCTCTCGGACATGTGTGCAACGCTAGCGAACCAGGCTATCCCGGCCTTCTAATATATATTTTTTATTTAGATTACAGAATAGTGCGACGAGCTTTGCTTTTTGCGCAAGCTTCTAGCTCTTTATTTTATTTACAACAATTTAAACTCCTTTCATCGAGAGTTGTATGGTTGTTTTTTAAAACATCCCTAAATAATATTTACTAGGTGAGTTGTTTTTACACTTGCATCTCAGAACAATATATACAATCATGACGTCATTTAAAATCTTTTGTGACGTAGTTATGTTTAAGCAAAATAATTGAAGATGACTTCAACAAACATATCGGTACATTGAATAGCTCTATAAACAGAATAGAAAACAAAAGGAAATATCTTGACATGATAGATAAATAAATAAATAATATGCGGGGAAACAGCGTTGCAACTTTTATTAATTTTATGTTGAGTCAAGGAACTCCAAATCTTCTTTGTTAATTAAGGAACATGATGATTTTTCTGTCCAATGAGAAGACATCGAAAACAATGAGTAACAATTTTTGACTTTTGCCTTTTTATGTTATATTAATATTTATCTTTAATTTTGAAACAAAAATAATTTTGAATTTAAATATTGATGATTTCAATTACAAATAATATCACGATGGTATTAAAAATCGATTCGCTGGTTATAACTGACACATATTAAACAGGGGATATTTTCTCTGAGTTACACATATTATGATAAATTAATTATAAAATTGTCATCAGACGTATTATTTAATAATTTTCATTACCAGGATTGTGAACAGTTTGAAAATATTTTTTTACAAAAATAGTAGAGGTGACATAATAAAGTCACGCTTTTCACTTTCATACTTGAAAGTATTTAATAAGAGCTTAACTTGGTAAATCCTAAGTCACTCTTTTTTCGTTTCAAATATTACATGATATTTAATGTCAGGAAGTCTACTATTCTCCGTTGCAAGTATCACAATGCGGTATAGAATTTAAGTAATCATCCGCGTCTGCATATAGTTCCGTTTTATTTCGTTACCAAATTATAAAAATACGCTTTCAAAACAATATAAAAGCTTTTAAAAGTTAAGCAAGTCGGCAGAAATTTAATTCGTGCTATCTTTTACGATATATGCCATAAAATTATTAAAGAAAGGTTGTAGTTTCGTAGTCTTACTGGAATCCTAGGCTGGGCGACATATTTCGATAAATAAGATTCGTTCTTTAAAACGAAACAGCTATATAACGTTGCAAGAGCATTAAATTTGATTGGACCACTAAAAATTTCGAGTTTTATGCTGATAACTAAGGCCCGGATTTTAATGACATTTGCATTTTTTTTGCATTTTTGGACATTTTTTGTCCGTTAGAGCATTTTTTGAGATTTATAGGGCATTTTCTTTAAATTTTGGGGCGTATTTTGCATTTTAAAGCATTTTTATATTTTTTGTTAATTTTTTCTAATTTTTGCTATTTTTTATAATTTTTCATTATTACACTGGCTTCCAAGCAATGAAGAAAATATATAGGATATTAAAAGGTGAAGCAACATCTTTTCAAATTGAAGAAGAATTGTCAGTAAGTGTGACCGTCCTTTTCAAGTACGCACCAATAACATCAGTAGACGTTGAAAGAAGCTTCTCCTAGTATTAAAATTTGCTTTCAGACAAGAGACGCTCGTTTACAATTCAAAATATTAAAAAAAAAATTNGTTGTTATACTCATTTAAGTTTCTATGCAAAGTGAAAATGTTTTGGAGTCAATATATTTTCCTTTTTTTTTGTTATTTTAGGATATAAAACATATTTTTCAAACTTTAATGAACGTAGAACAAGTATTGCATTGCTTTATATTTTTTGAAACGACTCATAATAATTTTAAAGAGTAAAACATTGTTTTAGTTCAATATTTTTACCTCTATTTAAAACATGTCATAAGGCATTTTTAGCGCAATTTTCGCATTTTAAGGGCAATTTTCGCATTTTAAGGGCATTTTTTGCATTTTTAAGGGCATTTTTTGCAGTTTGTAAGGGCATTTTTTGCACTTTTTAAGGGCATTAATTGAGATTTTTTAGGTCATCAAAATCCGGGCTCTACTGATAACAAATCAAATTCACGATGAAGAATTTTTATTTTCGTTTCGCTGTCGAAGAAAATATTCTGCAAGAAAAATATTTATTATTCTTTCGTCACTTTTTTTAACTGCGAACAGAAAGACGTATGTTTGTAACGATTTTTAGATATCATTTTTATTAATTCTTATTACTTCTTAATTGATTATTGTTTAGAAAGGATTAGAAAGCAAAGGAAATGAAGAAGGAAAAGATTAGAAAGCAAAGGAAATGAAGAAGGAAAAGATTAGAAAGCAAAGTAAAAAGGAGGCTGTGCAACATCGTTTCAAGAGTTGGCGATATTGATATATGAGCCTGCTGGGAGCTTGGCCTCCGTTTGTCGTGCACTTAGATGTAAACAGGCTCTCTCCTCAGGGATAATGCTTTTTTCGTAACTTGCAACAGAGTATAGAAGATCACTTAAAAGAATCTTGCCGAAAACTCTCATTTATCTAAATATTTCCTTTTATCCAAACGTAAAAAATTTATAACATTACGGAAATATTTTAAAATCATAAAAATAAAACCAATTATACAAGAAAATAAATAAGAAAAATAAATAAACAGTACAAGTGGTGTATTTATTTTTCTTATTTTTCTTTACTCTGCTATTATTACGTTTTTAATTTTGATTGCTTTCTAAATTACTAAAGAATTGTTTGTTTGTTTTTATTATAACGTGATTTTATAATATTACCGTATTATCATTATTCTTATTACCGTTAAAAATATTCGTTCAATGATTCAGTGTACAAGTGGTGTATTTATTTTTCTTATTTTACTCTGCTATTATTACGTTTTTAATTTTGATTGCTTTCTAAATTACTAAAGAATTGTTTTGTTTTTTTTCATTATAACGTGATTTTATAATATTACCGTATTATCATTATTCTTATTACCGTTAAAAATATTCGTTCAATGATTCTGAGTTTGACGGTCAGCTTCCTTCGCAATTGAGTACTTGCACTTCGAAAAGAAGAGGAATTTTGATACCCACACATGTGACCTTTCAGATGTTCGGCGCATGCTCACTGATGATAGTGAAAACAGAATTTTCCCCAGATCAGTTCGTGATTTTTAATTCCCTGGGCCGGGATAGCCTGGTCGGCAGGGTGCTGGGCCCATGTCCTGGAGTTTGTAGTTTCGAACCCAGCTGGCCGAAGACTCCCCGTGTAGTTGGAGACTGATGCACGTTAAATTCTGTCGAGTCGCAAAGTTCTCCATGTTCCCAAAACAAATCAAAACCTCTGGGGGTACTGGATTGGAGATCGATCGTTCTTTGATTCAGGTCAAAATTGCGATCCGTGGATGGATGTATGAATGGGTCCGCCTTATAAACGGGTGTGACG